CTTGCCTCTATGCTTCTTCCCCACATCATTCATTCCTTCCCTCTTTCAGGCCTGAATATTTCCCTCCTTAAGACCTCCTTATTTCCCTTCTGACATACATCCCTCTCATATTTCCTACATAGTCCATTTCTTGCATATTTCCTCTATTGCATACATCCTGAATACCGTATTTTCTTCTTTCCTTACTAACTTCCTTTACTTATTTGTCTGCCATTTTCCCTTTTCTGTCGCTTCCTTGCTTCCTTCTTTTCACCTCTAAGCCTGCGACTGGATCGATAAAGGGGAGGTGAGAGAGCAGTCGGCCTTTACAGTCATTTCATTGTGGCATGAGCAGAATCGCTTTGAAGGAAAGAAAGAAAGCATAACTGAAAAGGATGTCTGTGTTGTGTGATTCAGCGTCTCTTGAAACCTCCATTCTCTCTCATCCTTTGCCTTTTTGCCCTTTCTTGGTCCACAGTCTTTATCTTTATTTTTCTATCTCTCTTTCCTCTGTGTGTTGCCTTTCCTCGACCTTCCACTCACTCGTGCTTTCGTCCCCTCATCTATCTCTGTTTCTTGCTCAGTTTATATCCAGCTCAGATACTGGCCTTTTCATTTCACCCTCCATCTTTCCTTATTGCTTTTTTCTTCATTCTCCTCTTATGGACCAAGTATCCATGAAAAGACAAAGCTTGTTTTGCCTCGCTTGAAATTTGTGAAAATGAGGCTTCACTCATTTAACAGCTAATGGATTGGAGGCCATGTTACACTGATTTCAAAGTGACAAAAAAAATTCATTCTCAAGCCAATTTTTTGGTTAATTTGTGTCCTTTGTAACTTGAAGTGAAGTCTTGATTGTTTTCCAATTTCAGTGGTTGCTGTAACTTTTTTATTGGCTTGTTTGCTGAGGAACAGTTTGCTAGCATGTGGCATGTAGCATTCAATCTGACAAACCTCAGTGGTTTGTTGCCGCTGTGCTAGTTGCTGCCTGTCTAAGGCCCTCTGTCCGGCAAAGCGTTTTTTTTTCCTAGTTGAAAGCACCAGGTGCTCCTCAGGAAGCACACAGCAGGGAGCATTTGAGAGCGCTTTAGATGTGCTGCATTTTTTCAGCAGAGATGCTTTGGTTGCTTCTGGTTGCTATGATACAGAATATCCACAGAACAAGACAGCACAAGGTAGAGTATTTGCTTTGGATGAATGGAAGGCTGAAGCATGCAGGGAGAGGACAGACCCGCTGGTCTGTGCGGGTTCACGAGAGGAAACACAATATATATACAGTATTTTAACAGATTTCTCCTCTATTGTTGTTGTACATGTAAGATGTGACAGTTTGTCTTTGTGGTATTTGTCCCTCCCCCACTGTGACTGAGCAGTTGAAGTGACAGTGAAGAGTGCAGTGATTTGACCTAAAGTTGAATATTTCTTTAACTCACGATTTTCACCGCGATTTTGACGTCGCAGACGATCTTGAGAGCCACCTTAGGTCGGAGGTGAGACGGCAGATAGTCTGCCACGACGAGTCCTCATATGTGAACAAGCCTACGAGCAAGCTGCCCCCTCGTCTGTGACTGGGACTGGATATCTGGCATGCTAGAAAAGTGGAGAGGTGTGACACGACTGACAAAGAGCATCAACCAATGAGAGGCAGGATACGTCCCACGTCAGCACTCAAAAGGACAGAAGAAATGTGAGGAGGACAAGCCGCAGGGCTGCCACTTGCCTAGTCTCTATATACAGACTCTACATTCAGTGAGTGTAGAGTGTCTCCGGAAGAAGAGCGGAAGAGCCCTGGTTTCCGGTGCTAGGCTGTTTGTAGTCAGCGTGATATTGATCAATCACATTTGAGCCAGCTGCAGTTGTTGCCAGGTTAAACGCTCCACGTGGTGAACTAATGAGGTGGAACATGATTGGCTTCACTGCAAACTCTGAATCCATCGCAATGGTTCAGCATATTTACTTATATATAAATGGATGTCGGAAACGGAAATTCGCCTCATCCGCCCAAATCAAACCAGAATGCCGGGGCGTCGGTGGCTTCGTGGTAGAGCAGGCGCCCCATGTACAAGGCTGTTGCCTCAGCGGCCCGGGTTCGACTCCAGCCTGTGGCCCTTTGCTGCATGTCTCTCCCTCTCTCTCTCCCCCCTTCACACTTCACTATCCTATCAATTAAAGGCAAAAAATGCCCTAAAAATATCTTTAAAAAAAATGGAATGGAACGGAATGCCAAAAAATCGGGGGTCTACCCCCAGAGGCTGTATCGCCGTCTGCCGGAAGTCAGACGCCGAATACAGCCGATGAGTTCCGAGAATGCCACTTGCCAGGTCCACTTATTAGCTGCAACTCTGGGCTTGTTTCTAAGGTGGAGTTGCTTATTTGGGCTTGCTGTCTAAACGTCACCTTCCTCTACATATATCTGTCTAGTAAGTTATTTAAATGCATGATAGTCGCTTCTTTTGGGCTTGTTTCCACAGCCCTGGTTGCTTGTTTCTCTCCCAAGATCTGGCAACACTGACAAGTCGGCCGGCAAGCAACAACAACAATGGCGGCGTCCACAGGATCATGGGGAGCACGTTGTGTTTGGACCCAGGATAATAAAGAATATCCATGCCTTTACGTTGTGTCATCTCCAAGTTTGGTGACGTCACCGCGCTATCTGGGGCTCTGTCAGCGAGGGCTCGGTGTAGAAATCTTGTGGTGTGCACACACAGGTCGTAATGCAGTTGGCGAGAGTTACAGTTACGATAGTCTCTGCGACGCAAAATCAGGGTGAAAATCGTGTAATGTGAATTAAGCTTAACTGGCAGTAGTCAGCACAGAATTCGCACAGTGATTGTAGCGCAGTATAAGTTAGTGGCGCTCCCATTGCAAAGCATTACAAAAAAAAGTTGGACTCAGGGAAAAAACACTTTGGTGGACATGGCCCCTAAGGGTTCTACAAATTTATGACCCAGTAGCTCTTCGTTGTTATCATCCATGGGTCAGTACGTTGTTCTCTCAGCAGTTAAACTGGGCCACCTTACATTATGTCACAGAGGAACACAACATAAACTCCTAGTTGTTACAGTTCACCAGGTATGTCTTTTGAATATGTGGTCCAGTTAACAAGATTACTAATCTCGTTTGCAGAAATGAAAAAGTCTAATACAGGCCACAGTAGCTCTAAGGGCTGGCAGAGGAGCGGAGTCTTGCATATCCGTGTAGCTACTCTGGTAAGCATAAAATAGTTTCAGCAGTCTTTTCCTAACTGTTCATATGTAGGTATATGTTACTTAAGAAAAGGGTTGTGTGGATTAATGGATTAATACAATTGAGAATAATTTTAATTACTAATCAAATTACCTAGGAACCCAAGCTTATGTAGATCCATGTACCAAGGTGCCAGGTGTACGTACATAGATTTATATCTATGTATACAGCATTATACGTATAGACAATAAAAACAACAAAGAAGGGAGTTCAGAATTAGTGCAAGAAATAGAAAGGCTAGTGGAAGACTAAAGTAGTGAAAAGTTGTGAATAGAAGCTAGATATAACAGGAGGACAGACGTATGGAAAAGGCAGAGAGGTAGGCCCTAGTATATATAGTGGGAAAGAGTGAGAAAGTACAGTGAGAAGGGAGAGAGGAAAAAAAAACAAAACAATTTACAGTTATCACAGAAGGATGTAAAGAAAATCAGTTCATAAAAGAAAAAAAAAACACTTAAGTGAAATACAGACCCTATAAACACTGAAGATGATAAAACCAAAAGAATGAAGAAAAGACAGTGAATTCCACAGAGGAAAAATGAGAGGTTCAGGTCTAACTGCATCCACACATTGAAGAGTAGGAAGTCCAGCAGTGGAATGAATAGCATTTTCTATTTGTGCTGAATAGTATCGATTGTCTGGGAGGAGATGATTCTGAATGTGTGTGTGCGAGTACTATTCTTATTTCCAAATATGTGTGTGACCAGAGGCGAAGGGCCATTTGAGGTAAGTGGGGCAAAGCCCCACCTGCTGGCAACAGAAAAAAAAATGTGGTTTTAGTGAAACTGAGTAACTTAGAAATTAACACAATTCTGGTCATGCTGTTAATTATTGCTGCTGTTTAATATCACTATTTTACAATTTAAGGCCAGTGGCTGAAAATAATAGTTTTACAGTGGTATTTTAAATGTGCTTGACCAGAGAGGTTGTGATGTGGGGATAGCCCAACAACAAATGCCCCAGATGTAGGAAAACAATGGTGCCAATGCCCAAAGCCTTTGCCAATGAGAGCAAATGGCATCAGATATTTGATGCCACGTGCAAGTGTTTGCCTGTTGCTCCACTGCCGTGTATTTGGCTATTTGCCAAGTACTTCTGTCGTTATTTGCTCAGAGCTAGCAGAAGTTAGTATTTCTTTAGAAGATAGCAACTCTGGTCTTGATGAATGATGTGGTTTATTTCTACAACACACATTTAAAAGTCTGCCTCTTGAAGATTAAACCTCTTGTTGTCCATCAGCTGTGGGATATTGTTATAAACGAAACATCTGGTAAAAATAATCAGACTTAATGAGACGTGGTTCTCCAAGAACAAAATTGCGAACTGATAATTTGTCAGAGAAGACATTTTTTGCTTTCTGTGTGTGTATAATTGGGATGGGCTGGTACCTGGTCAAGAGCAGGCTGTCATGATTTCAAGCATCTTTCTGAGAGGGTTACCAAAGATGAAAGCAGCAGGACAATGCGGGAAAACTGGGCAACATAGCTACCCAAACTGACAGCACACATGAGTTGAAGTGAATAGTTATGTGTCCAGTCAGATTATCACCTGTGCTAAAGTGTGTAGAAAATTTGAAACAGTGCATTTTCTGGTTTTGCATCTATGGAAAGTAGTTGCTTTCCCACCATTGTTTTTTTTTTCACTTAAAACACTGTGTAAGACAGTTTGTTGTGACGCATGTTTTGCTTGTTGGAATACATGAAGTATGCATGTATCTGTGTGTGGGAGACTTTGTGTGTACATTGTGCTGCATGTATGTGTAACACTCCACTTACCTCCACCAGATGTGGCGTGGGGTTGAAGCCACACAGGTTACACACTTGGCTATGACACTGTGTACAGGTGTTGTAGTTGGGCGGGTCGGAGCTGCCAATGTTCAGCTCCGTTTTACAGAGAGGACAGTTCACTTTAGGCTTCACAGGCTCTGGAGCAGGCACAGGGGCCACTGCAGGCTCCTGTTTCTGCTGAGCTTTCTGCATATGAGCAGGTGATTGCTGTTGTCCTTGTGGCCCTTTTTGATGATGAGCAGGCGACTGCTGTTGCGGCATTCCTTGTTGATGGGACATGGTCTGCGGCTTCTGTGATGGTCCACCCATTTGGTGACCTCCCATTTGGCTAGGTGCATGAGGACCCCCCATTTGGCTCGGTGGATAAGGGCCTCCCGCTTGGCTCGGCATATGAGGACCCCCCATTTGGCTTTGTGAATAAGGGCCTCCCATTTGGCCCTGCGCTTGAGGACCCCCCATTTGGCTCGGCGCATGAGGACCACCCATTTGGCTCGGCGCATGAGGACCACCCATTTGGCTCAGTGCATGAGGACCACCCATTTGGCTCGGTGCATGAGGACCACCCATTTGAGTTGGGCCTCCCATACCAAATGGTTTGGTGCCAGGAGCCCCTTGTTGTTGCTGCCTGTTGTCAGGAGTTGCATTACTGAACACCACCTTGCCTCTTGCAGGGCTTGGTTGGGTGGAGGCCGTGGGTAGAGGGTCAACATTGATCAGAGTACTCGCCTGATTGAGTAGTGATGCTCCAAAGCCAAACAGTTTGGTCAGGCCATCCTGGGCAGGAGGAGGGGCCTGACCCTGAGGTTTGTGGGCTGGGGAGGAGCCAGCACTTCTTGTCTGGTCATGGTGGCGTGCCATAGACTGGTGCATCGGAGAACCTCGACCCAAATCAGGCTGGGACGGAGCCTTGGTCAAGCCAGGAAGGGGCACAGCGCCTGGGTGTGGAATTCGTGGACCCCCAGGTTGATTTGGACCTCCTGCAGGACCTCCAACAGCTCCAGGAGCTCCAGGACCTCCCTGGGAGTATGGGTCAGATCTCATGCCCTGCTGGAAGGACCCTGTCTGAGTCTGGGGCCCGCCAGGGCCTGGATGTCTCTGTAAGCCTGGGGAGGACTGAGGCTGAGACTGGGGCCCTGGCTTGGATGCAGGGTACTGCTGGGGCTGAGAGTGGGGATACTGCTGTGTCTGGGAGTATGGCTGGGACTGGGAGTAGGGTTGAGTTTGGCCGTAAGGCTGAGACTGTGGCTGCTGCTGCTGCCGCTGCTGTGGGGTGGGCTGACTTTGTGCCAAAGGTTTGGGCTGTGCTGCTGCTGCCGGCTGTGTTGGCTGAGGTGTGGGCTGCTGAGGCTGGACAATGGGTTTGGCTTGGTGGGACGGAGAGTGAATCTGCTGTTGGCTCTTGGAGCGAGGCGTGGTCATATCAATGCCAAGGGCTCTCTGCATCTGACAATTCAGACACAGCCACTCCTGAACCTGCAGACAGAGAACAGATTATTATTTTAACCTTCGTCTGGGACAAAAACATTTTAGTTTGTCTGCCTGATGATATCACACGTCTGTATCGGCTTGTTCCAACTCTTCATTAAGGCTATATATCTATAGTGAGTGAAACATTTAAAAACAGTTTTTACGACTGTAGTGATACATCAAATGGAACAATCAGAGATGTACTGTGCATCAGCGTATTTAGCTTAGCATCAAATTTAGCTTCTAAGAATCTCTAGTAGGAATCTCTACTGCAATTGAAGATAAGATTTTGTGGGTTTGAACCATGCTTGGCTGCACAACATGCGTTTTCACTGACTGGATCTGTAAGGTCGAAGAGTTTGCTTTATTAATGTAAGAGAAGTCTTTGTGCTGAAACCAGGTAAAAGAAAGGGAATAAATAAAGATAGAGGACATCATAGACATAACTATAATTCATTGGGGTTTTTTTCCTTTCAAAGCTGATTGCAATTGATTACTTTAAATATCATCGCTGACTCAGACAGGATGCACCAGTGTCTCATCTAAACCACATGGACACTGTATTCATTCAGCCAACTTCAAAGCTGCAGATGATAGCGAGAGTGCATTTGGATGGCTACACATAGAATATGGTCCATCTTTCTTCCCATGGAAAACAGAAGTGCAGAGAGAATAGTTGTAATCAACCAGAAATAGAGGGAGAGAGAGGTAAATCAACCACAAATTGACTGCAGCACTGAGTGATTGCTGAGCCGAAACCGCAACCTGAGTGAAAAAGCATTACATCTCTCACAGACACAGACACACACACACATAAATCCACACGAGTACACAGGTATGCACACACATAGAAATCAAGTGACACAAGCGATACACACAAATAGATACAATAAGAGACACACACAGTCAAATGAAATGAAAACGAAACACCTCTCAGCATCTAAAAATAAAGGAAACATCACCCCCTCCTCCTCTTCTCCTGTCTTCCTCCTTCCTTCTCCTCTTCCTCCAGATGAGAACTGATACTCCCTTGTGTCCGGACCTTGCTTGGCTCTCTAATTTCTCCCGACTGCAAAAAACACACAGCTCCTCTTTGAACTGTGCCAACCTGGTCTCGTCCTGTCTTTCTTACTGTAGCTTTGCATCCACCACAGCGACCGAGCTGCAATAAATAGTGCTATTTTAGCTCCTCTGCAACCAGAGCAAAGCTAGTAAATCTGTGCACGTTTCAAGCGTTTCTCCCATCCCCTTTCCTTCCCAGAATGCAATGCGCAAACGTACTGTATCACCCCACCCGTTATTTTTTTTGCTAAAGGACAAGTTGGCTCCTTGAATTTAAGGGGAAGATGTGGAAAAAAAAAATGTCTGCATCAGTCACGTACCCTAACTAAGCACTTCCTCCCACTGTGCCGTCCCAGCCTGCTTTGCTGTCTGGCATTTTCTAGCTTGACAGCATTACTGATCCCATGTTCTGTTAACTCAGCGGCTACAACACTGCTACAGCCTGACATCCTCCTTTTCTCCTTAACATATTCTCTTTGTAGCTGTCTTTCCTCTCCTTTCTGCTTTTCTTCTCCCTGTTATTTCTCTCTTCCTCACATATCCCCTTCAGTTTCCCATTTTCCTTGCTTTCCGTCTTTACCCCCATTTTTCTGCTCTCTCTCTGATCGGCTTGAAAATGTAGGTCTCGTTCCTTGAATAGCTGAAGTGGAAGGAGATTTGAAAGTATAATTTTGCTGTGCAGGCTCCTCCCACGTTGTGCTGCCATAATTACATCTGATGAAGATGGCGAGAGGGAGATGAAGAGAGGTAGATAGGGAGAAAGAGAAAGGGAGGGGGGCTGATTTTAATGAGTCCCCGTCTATCCCTTTGCTTTATAAGCAACATCACAAGAGACACTTGAATGAATGAGGGATAAAGCGAGGGATGGAGGGACGGGAAAGAGCAGGGAGGAGATGGAGAGGGAGCGCACAGCGGAGGGAGAGGAGTCAGCAGTTTTTTAATCCAGGCAGCTCTTCAGCTCTCATCATGTCAAGCTTAATCAACAGCACAGCCACACAGAATATTCTGCTTCACTGTGGTTAAAACCAGTGAATACTTCACACACCTGAGTCCTGTTGCCAACAGGTGAGGTACCATCACGCTGCTAAGGGTTTGTTTGAATGGTCAGTTCACTAAATTACCTTGTGTGGCATCTAGCGATACAAGATTTTGGTTTTAGTCGCCCCAGTTTTGAGTTATCAATCAGTGGAGGTAAATGGAATTTAATTTGCATTTCTCAAAGCATTGGAAATATTATATTCAATGTTCACAATGCAATAGAAACTTGCCTGTCCTGTGTACCACTTCTTCTGTGATCATCTGTGAATGGTTTTCATTGGAACTACTTTTTTGGTAAAAAGTTCAGATGAAAAGTGTTTACACTGAGGTCTGCTGTACTAAAAACAAATTAAACCTAGACAAATAAAACCCATATTATCTGCATGGCTGGATACAGCTAGTGCAAGTAAGAATGATTTCTCTTTTAATTTGGAGTTTGGCTGAATGAACCCTCAAATGCAGGTGCAAGCATTTCTGTAGATTCTGAAACTACAAACTTGTGTGCTTCATGTGCCTACAATACTGCACCACACCATGTTGTTTCTCTATAAAAGGGACAGTTAACCTCAAACATACATATTACATATTTTTCCTCTAACCTGTCATACTATTTATCATCTGGATGTTTTGGTGTGAGCTGCCGAGTACTGGATCTATCAGCCATAGAGATGTCTGCCTTCTCTAGAATATAACGGAACTAGATGACACTTTGCTCGTGGAGCTATATGTGCCACCAACCATGTCACTGTGCAGGCAGAAACGAGCATCTACCAATGTAGGAGGCTGGTGCCTGTGACAATGTGAGATGAAAACATTGTTGGTGTCCTCCTTGGCTGAGCTGAAACATTAGCTAGCTCAGTGATGCTAAGAGAGCTAGCAGTAGATGTGCGCTTCCTTGTGCGCAGTGATACAGTTGCTAGGTGTAGTTTGGAAGGAAGAAAATAGTTCCTACATGAAATTGCTCATAGCAAGATCTGTGGATTATCTTGAGGTATTACAATTTATGTATTTTTTTGTTTGTTTGTTTTTGGTGATTTGAGCACCACAAGCCAAGTGACAACTAGCTCCATCAAATTGGAGAAAGAAGAGACATCTCTATGACCAATATCTCCAACACTTTGCAACTCACACCAAAACAATCAACAAATAGCATTACAAGTAAACGGAAAAATATGCATTTTGGATTTTGGGGTGAACTATCCCTTTAAATGTGCAGTTTATAGCATAAACTATGGTACTGCACATGTATTCTCAGCTGCTCCCTGTATCACCAGTTCTTACACTATTTATACAGGTCATTATGTATAAGAGCAGACCAAACTGATTTTAAAATAATAATATGGCGGTTGTGCTAATTTGGTATACTGCAGTCAGAACTGTCTTCTGGTTGTTACCAAAATCCCTTGAGAGTACACAGTGTACTGAGTTTGGTATGCAGCATGTTTAACAGCAGGTCCAGCCAACATTTTCAACAAAATAATCTCTAAACAGAGTCAATGCAGTGCAATAATACAGTCAGGTGATATAATTGTACACTCATACAGAGCTACAGCACACAGCCAAACTTAGACTAAGAGATTTTATTCAGTTATTTCTCACTTAACCTTTAACCAGGGACTCCCACTGAGATAAAAAAAATCTTTTTTAAAAGAAAGTTGGCCATGAAGCAGCACGTAGCAACTGAAAATGTAATGACTGCTGGTTAATGCAATAACTAACCCAGGAGGAGAGTTCTACAAGTGAGTGAGAGGAAATGAAAGACTACATTTACTCGATTTTAGAATACAGTATTGTATTATTAGAAAGCAACACTTTCATTTTCCTTCTAATGGTTTTGTTCTAGAGTGCACTTGATTCTTGTATACTGACTGCCTCTATATGTCCCAGTTCTACGGTCTAGTATTGCATGGGGACATAGCATTTCTGTTTGTAGATGATCATAATAATAAAACACCAGCCTGGAGGCTGAGACAAAATGCAGACAGACAACATTCAACCTTGTTTACGGGCAATCGCCATCATCTGACCCTCCAAAACTGCCTCAGGCCTCATGTGAAAAACCACAGCTCTGACGGATACTGATAAGCCCATCAAAGAACAGCTTTGACAGGTGTCTTATGTACCTCTGAGCATTAGAGTACAGGTGTCACCTCAAGTTATAGCCCTTTTACCACTTTCTGTGTACGGCTCACAAACCAGTCAGTTTTCATATGGTGTGTTGGTCAGCTCAGGCAATTTTCGGGCCTGTGGAAGTTATTACACGAATAAGTGGCTGCAAAAGTCTTTTCTGAAAGGAGGAAAATGAGCCCTGACAATCTCAAATGATGCTGACTCTGCACTCTCTTGCACTCTGCACTAAGTAGAAAAGGGGTTGGTAATTTTCATGAAAAACTCATTTCTGAAGAAGCTAATTTTCGTCTATTTCTGTCTGTTTTTCTGTATAATTACAATTAAAGAAAAAGGTACATCAATGAGAATGCCAGTGCTCTGTAAAATAAAAGCTCCATCTCATTCAACAATCACAGAAGCAGGGTCTATAGATTATTTTCTTAATCAGCTTGATTCCAAAATACTCAGGGTCTTTGATGCAATAGCACCTGTGAGGTCTCAAAAAACTTCTGGCAAACAAAATGCACCATGGAGAAATGCCACAACAGTAGCATATAAGAGGAGAGAATGCAGGAAGGCAGAGCAAGGATGGAGAAAAACTTTAGATTGACTATCTGAATCTACAAAGAGAAACATTGTCTCTACAAAGTCTCCCATTTCTCTAGAATTTATTAATGGTAATATTAATAATACTCATGCTTTATTTAACACTGTTGATAGGTTAACAAACCCTCCACTGCAGTCACTCCCTGACTCTCTTAAACTGAAAAATGCAAGGAGTTAGCATATTTATTCCA